CCCGGTTGGGAGCCGCTGGTATAAGTGAAAGTGTGTAATTGATGGCCCATCACAAATGAATCTGCACTGTGTTTATCCACCTCTGCCTCTCACCCCCAGTAATAATAACCATGTGATCAGTGTTGGGCAGTAAAGCAATACTAGTAATAATATTACTTCTCCCCAGTAACTGGTAGAGTAACTAGTTACTAATACATTTAAGTAATAATATTACAGCTACCCCCCCCCAAAAAAAATACAAGTTACAACCTTACTTTTGTTGGCAACCCCTTACTAATTTGAAATAAAATAATCCATTTTTGTAAGATTTCGTTTATATTATTCCCATTTCTTTGATTTTTAACAAACAAAACTGGATTTTAATTGTGAGAATGAGCACAATTACTGTCGGCAGGGAGTGATAAGTAAAGTAATAATATTACTTTTTAAAAGAGTAATGAGAAATAAAAGACATACACTGCATGTGACAGTTAATGTGGTCCTGTAGACACACACACACACACTGGAGGTCAGACTGCTGGCTCAGCTGCAGAGGTCCTGAAGCTGCTGAAGCTAAACTCATAAAACTTTTCCACCAACACAGGAAGCAGTTGTTGTCAGCGTGGCCTGTGCCAGCAAACCTTTTTCACCAACCAGCGCCGGTTTCCACTGAGAGTGGAATTGTTGTGTAATCAGATGTGGGAGTTACATAGCAAGGAGCGCTGTGGCTATTTACGTACCGCGTTGGCACGTCCCAACAGTGTGTAAACAAAACACACAGACGGTGGAGGAAAGTTGCTGGTTGCTGGTGATTCACACGTTGCCTCAGAAGTTGATTTGCAGGCAAACTGAATTTAATTAGTCAAAAAGTTCTCTTTCGTATTTCCCTTCGTTCGCTGTGAAGACTCTCCTCCCATATTTACATTTACATCTTTTCTTTGCTCGAGGTCTGCTCAGTAAAACTGTTCTTTACTCTTTTTTTTTTTACTCGTTTACTCTTATTTTCCTCTCTCTTCTTGCTGTCTTTATGATTTCCAAGGAACAGTTTGAGGTTCATGCGGTGACGTAGTTCAGTGACATACTTAAGATCCATTATTTTGCTGGCGGATACACTAATGAGCAAAGATTCAATGAGATAGATAGATAGATAGATAGATAGATAGATAGAATCATTATGGAGTCATTTCTGGCATTTTGTTGGTGGAAATGACTCCATTATGATCTATAATGTCAGTCTGTAAAATAAGGCCTCTCTTACAGTGAGCCGCTCAGCACTGAGGCTGTTAATATTCTGTATATACTGTACAGTGTTATGAACGTGTGTGTAATCATATTTCAGAAAGTGAATCACTTGATCCTCTCTCTGCTAGATAACTCACACCCTACCTGTTTATATTCTGCCATAACAGCTACACGGGCAAATAAAACGGATGGGATTAGAAAGGAAGGTTTTACAGACGGCTCCCTAAATCAGATGGAGGATTTAATGCTCCAGATTTAGAATGAAATCATCTCACCACCCAAGGGTTTTATTTGTGGACTGTTTTTGATCCAGAAGTCTGGAAGCAACTTAATGTAAAGAAGTTCGTTACTGATAGTTGTACAACAAAGCTGTATGTGTAGAACTACAGATGAAGTAATGCTTTCTGGGAGAGGAAGAAGGGGTGAAACATGTTGCGTATTTTAGGCTATTTAAGGCTGCTGAAAAGCAAGAATCCTCCCACCACCCTGTACCTGGGCTAACATGGTGCAAGGATAGATTATCTTTCTGTTCTCTCTCTGGTTCTTAAACTGAAGTTGCGGGCGCTCCCATCTGAAACATGAAGTCAGGCTGCACCAGCTTCTGCGTGTTTTAGCGCCGACATGACGAGCAGCTCTGTGTCTCAGTGAGAACTAGAGTGGACGGTTGATCTTAATACGGTTGATCTGCTCATAATCCCGCTGCTGCTGCTTTTATGCTTGTTTACACCACCATGTTTTTTGTAGGTACAAGACTCTCGTTCATGTACATCTGAGTGACCTTTCAGACCGCTTAAATTCCCCAACTTCCAAATCACAAATCCAATTTCTTAGGACAGCCTCCCCGAATAGAGCCCCCTCCCTTTATTAGGATTTTCTTTTTAGAAGAAGGACATGAAGTTTTAAGTGCAGACCGGATGAAACCTTCCCAGAATTGTGCATTTGCATGCAGTTGAATAAAATAAAAGAATTAAATTAAGATCACAGTTGAACTTGTGATTGCTGTGATGTTTTCAAGTGTTAAAGCTCCCTGCCACAAATAACTAACCTGTGAGACGCACTGCGTTCACACTGCAGTAATCTGCTCGTTCCCGTCAGCACACACGCTGCCACATGTACGCCTCTGTTGTTCATTTAATTATACTTCATTTGCTGTGCCGTGACTCAGCTCTCACAGAAGTTTCACATTTGAAAGTGTTATTTTTATCATCCGTCCTTGGCCTTTTCACTAAATACGAATCATCAGCAAGTCTTCAGCGTCTCAACACCTGCAGCTACCACCTTTTCACACTAATCAGATAGAAATAGAAAATCATTAGACTAATCTCTGCATGTTAGTGTGAGTCTTTTCTTCAACAAGTGGTAATGGAAGCCCGACACAGGCTATAATATATCAAATCCAGATGTTGACGTTTGAGCGTCTGAATGTCTCTTTGTGCTGGTCATTGTGGTTTGACAGAAGTGTCGGCGGCTTCCTTCACATCCTGTTAACACCAGATTTTAGTTTGCGCCATAATTATTTGACAATAAAAGTTTCATAAGAGGATTCTCACTTGTTTGTAACCTGAAGGTCTGTTGCACCAACCAACGTTAAGTTTCTGCATCATCCTTTTAACTTCTCTCAAAAGTCAGTGGTTGTGTATGCAGAAATATTGGTGTTTTTAAAGCAGGTAAAGAGATCCAACTGGAACTGTAGACTTTTACTTAGTATTTACTTAAATATCAACGTATTACAGAATACTTTCATTGATTTATATTTTCAGTTTTCTGTGAATCTTTCCTCTTCATGTTATGTTTGGTCGCAGACATCAAACCACAACAGTTTGTTTTGATGCAGGACCATCTCTGTGTGTAATTTGCATCTTCTCGTTAAGTGTTTTTATAGTTTTGCGTGGTTATGTGTAAATAATTTCTGTGTGTTGTGGCTTATGGTGCCAGTATTGTGAGAGCATGTAGGTTTTCCCTCATGAATAAGACGAGAGAGTTTCCAGTGTGTCTTTATAATGTGACTCTACAGTACTTAATGATAGAAGGACTGAGCCAACTTTTCTAGCTTTAATCTTTCTTTAGTCTTGTGCTGGATGAGAATCTTGACAGTCAACTCAACCAGCTGCAAAATGTCCACAGCCTGTATGGAGCTCATGTATTCATTATTCAGCATCCATGTTGATTATAAGAGGGATTTACTGTAATGACTAGAGTAGTTTTGAAAAGTAACTGAGTGTTAATTGTGTTTTAAATGGAAAGTTATGAGCGAATATAGTTCATACAGAATGTTATTTAAAGTAGTGGTTCCTGCTAAACACAATATGTCACAATGGCATGCTCAGTTCCTTCATATTTGACTGTGCTCTGTCCTCTCAGATACTCCCTAGAAGATGAGCCCTCCAACCTGGACGAGATGCCTCTGATGATGTCGGAGGAAGGCTTTGAGAATGATGAGAGCGACTACCAGACGCTGCCCCGGGCCAGAGTCAATCAGAGACAGAGAGGCCTCGGCTGGTTCCTCCTGGGAGGCTGGAAAGTCCTCTGCGGCAGGTATTTCTACATCATTACATTATTGTTGTTGTCTTTTTACGACATAAGGACTTGGTCATCTGTGCACGATGACTGAAAGCGATCCCATTCTGGTCTGGCGTAGCTGGCCCTTTACCCCCGGCTTCACTTCAGTCCTCCTCCTGTTCTTTTGCCTTCTGCCACATACCTGTAACACATCTGTAAACATAAAGAGCGTAGGGCGTCAGTTTAAGTTTAACTATAAAATCTATGTTAATCATAGTCCAAGAACGGTTGCAAGGTCAGGCCTTTCCGAGAAAAGCACAGATTTCAAACCTAGATAAATTCCTCTGCTGTGCCTCAAAGTCATGTCATTTTCTATCTGCGGATTAGTTCGTTATACTGCTTCCATTTGGACCTTTCAAACACTCTGAAAGTTGTGAGTGTTTTGTCATTCTGTAAATGTATGTGTAGTGTATAATGTCAGTAAGTATGCCCGTGATGATCAGTTTGGATTTCAAACGCACCGGTAGTTGTGCATGAAGTGCAAAGAGAGGATAAGGGCGTGTTTTTGGTCGAGTTCCTCGATGCGCACCATCAGTCCAAAAAGATTTTCAGGTCAAACAGAGCAATGCGTTTATCCGGCTAATGATTAATTTGACAGGTTTCGTCCTCTAAGGATGCTCCTTTCTGGCTAAGAGAAGAGTGTTTGTGTATGCCAGAACCATAGAGTGTAACATTTCTAAACAAATGTTTGTGCAGCACCTCAGTGCCCCAAAAAGTAACAGTTACTGAATTTCATACAATATTCAGTTTTTCGGCGTCGTTTTGTTGTTCGTGGTACATCTCTAGTTGAAGCTGCGTATTGATCCCCCCTCCCCATCCCCCCACTAATGAACAAATCGGATTTTTCACAGCTGACCAGTTTGATGCTTTCCAGTAATTTTATGTGTGCTTAGTGTGGGATTATAAAACTCAAATAATTCGCACTGAATAAGCCCTGACTGTTCAAATGGCATATTATTTGAATAGCATTCATTTGCTCAAATAATCGCTCTTATGAAACTGGACTCGGAGTGCACAGAGACAGAGAACGTCGACGCCAATACAAACAAGACTTTTTACCAAAGTTGATTTATTTAGTTGAATGTTTTGCCAACTTGCTTAAAAAGTGGAAAAGCCAAGTCGATCAGCATGACGGTATACACTGACACTCTCCCCTCTTTTCCCCCCAGGTGCCAGTTTAGGTCATGCTCCCATCGAGCTGCACTCATTGTAATTTACCCCCACACTTCACATCTGTTTGCATTTGATATCAGATATGCTAGATAAGCCCCAATGTAGTCATTAGCAGGTTGATAGAAAGTCAAATACTTTTTCAAAAGGTAAATGTCCATCTACAATCCATCTCTTCTGTGTAATCCCTCCTTAGAACTTTGATAATATCACAATAATTACATAGGTACGTAGGGAACGGCTGGTCTTTGCATGTTAGAAAGAGCCAATAAGGTGAAACTAGCAAGGAAACAAGGACAAACACTGACTTTATTCTGCCATACCGTATATTTGTCTGCACACATAAACTGGTTGCTAAGGTTTTCCAGCTTATTCAACTCTAAAAGTGTCTAATTCCCACAGCATTAGCGAGGGAATTCCCTCCTGGAGAGATACTAACCTTTTCAGATCATTCAAAGGGCCAGAAGCAGGGGACTTCTTTTATAAAATTGTGTCAAAAGAAGCCTTGAAGATCTAATTAACACTGACAAGACCAGGGATATAAATAACGTCGGTACTGTAGGATGTAGCAGGGGCACAGCTGTGGAGCTCAGCGGTCACAACTGATTTAACAGCTGAGAAGAAAATGACTTAAGTCTTAAATGTAGTAAGTTATGTCTTTTTATTTAAAAGAATTCAGGGATTCATTTGCATGAATGTCACAAATCAGATGAAAAACACATTATTAGCTAAATATAATTAGCTGCTAAATCATTTTTTCTTAATTTTAACTGAATCTGATCCCCATTTTCTATTTTCTATTCTTTTTTTTTTTTACTTATTATATCCAGGAGCATATTCTGTGCTGACCCCATACCTAACCTATAGTTAGAGGACTGTTCACTGTGAATTATGCAGAAGAGTATTGAAGAATTCAAACAATTGTTTAATGTGTGACCGTAAAATCTAAGTGGAAACTCCTTTTTTGAATTATTTAAAAATCTGGGTATTTTTCAGTGAAAGTTGATAAACAAGGAAAAGGATTGGGCGGTTGGTCAAGCAGTTGATGGACAACAGCTATGCTTTAGGAAATTATAATAACATTTTTCACAATATTATGACAATTTCCAGACAAAATAATGAAGTCATTTGAGAGAGTTAATTGGTGGATTAATTGATAATGAAGCTGTTTGTGCCATGTGGTTGATGTAATGTGTTTGCACTGGATCATAGCAACGTCTTCCCCTCTCAGCTGCTGTGACTGCCTGGTCCACACATGTCGGAGGAAGAAGGAGCTGAAGGCCAGGACGGTGTGGCTTGGCTGCCCGGAGAAATGCGAAGAGAAATACCCCAAAAATGCCATCAAAAACCAGAAGTATAACATCATCACCTTTGTGCCTGGGGTGAGTCGGATTTGAAAGAACCAAATACCTACGGCCTGTGTTGAGTCGACGCAGCAGATGTGGCTTTTTTTGAATCAATGTTCCCGCTGTTATTAACTTTTATAGTCCCCACTGTGGCAGTTCATCCTTCCAGTTGAAATATGCTCATCTTTTCACAGATTAACAGTACATGAAGCACAGTAGCACGCACCGGGTCTAATTGTTAACCGTTCTGTCATTAAGTTAAGAGTTTACACTGTAGGGGACATTAGAGATCCATCAGACTTACTTATTAAAAAACCAAATGGTTCCATGATTAAGAGGGCTGCGTTCGGCCCGGGCCATAAAATGTCAACTGTCTGTTAGAGGCGTAGATATTCTCATCGATGGTGAACAAAACGGCTCTGTTTTTCTCCCTCCACTTTGAATTATTAAATACACACAAATTGAGTTTAGCAGTGTGCATTTTTCCCTAAAGGTCAGGGGGTTCATTAACTGTAGAGCATCATCCATTGATCCCATTGTCTCTGATAATCTGTGACTGGATGCTGGACTCATTATTGCAAACATTATTCAAAATCTGACCTTAGATGAATAGAATACTAAGGGGATCCCTCTTGATGGATGGCCCATTAGCAAAGAGCCCTCGGTAAGTCACAGGTGGCACTTTGGTATGTGTGATTTAAGAAAGTTGGCCTGTTTGCCTTCTTCATTCATTATTGTGGTTAGTCCTGTTTTTTCTCGTGCTGTATGTTTAATGCACCAACCGACATTGTTCCACGTGAAATCCCTACCCTGAGTGCCATTTGAAACAGAGGTTCTCAAAGTGTCAGAGTTTCCATTAGGTTAATGTAAAGCTAACAGCATTAACATGTATCTTATTCCACCTTGGAACACGTACAGTAACCCATCCCTCTCGCTCTGTTGTTTGCCGCATCCTCTTTGTCTTCTTTGGCAGCTGTCGTCGTCTTTGACTCACCTTGCTGACATGTTCACTCACCTCTCTGAATCCTTGTCTTCTGCTCCCTTCTCAGGTTCTCTACCAGCAGTTCAAGTTCTTCCTCAATCTCTACTTTCTGGTGGTGGCCTGTTCGCAGTTTGTGCCATCACTGAAAATCGGATATTTGTACACGTACTGGGCCCCTCTGGTGAATGCACTTTTTACTCTGTAATTGATGCAAATGAAAAATGTTTTGGAATCTCAAAGCATGTCTGCCCTGGATAATGCCACAAATGCTGTCATATTTATTTGTAGACGTTTTTATTATTGATTTAAAACAGTCTTTATTGTGATTAATAAATATGAGGCAACAAAAGGTCAAATGATTAGTTGATTAATCGATTAGTTTATTGTCAGAAAACTAGATGCCAATTATTTTTGATAATTAATCATTTCAGTCATTTTCTTAAGTATAAATGTCAAATGTTCTGGTTTCAGCTATTTAAATGTAAGGATTCACTGCTTTTCTCTCTTTTATGTCTTTGTAAATTCAGTATCTTGTTTTAGTTAAGGTAAAACAAGTAATTTGAAGACATCACATTGTGCTCAGATAAATTGTAATGTGTTATTTTTTTCACAGTATAAATATATATACACATATAAAATAATCATTAGTTGCGGATCTAAAGCCAATAGATCACCACTAAGGACTTTTAACGTTTAAAGTTTTAGATAGAGAAAGAGTTTTTGAATTACTTCTCAGTGAAAAACAACTCTAGTTTTTATTTACACTTAATAAAGTAAGACATTACCCCCCATTGTGTGCATAAAAAAACAAAAAAAGCTTTATATGTTATGTTAATGGATGCTGGTATTAATGAAGCTTTGTAAATGATCACGGGGTGATTGATCTGTTTTGTTCTTTTGTCACTCAGGGTTTTGTGTTAACCGTTACAATGGTGCGAGAAGCTGTGGACGAAGTGCGACGGTACCAACGGGACAAAGAGATGAACTCTCAACTCTACAGCAAGCTCACAGTGCGAGGTCAGTGAGACGACTCAAAGAAATCTATTCGCACTCCTCCTCATGCCTCTAACTGTTTGCTGACATTATGATAACGGATATTCCAGTGTAGAGTCAAGTCCTCCCCATGCAATTAAAAGCCGGCACTTCACTGGATCTACACCTGAAACAGAAGTCATTCTTCTCGCTGTAATTGCATTGATTTTTTTCTCTCAGTTTCTCACGACTGTATGATCTAAGATCTGTTGAATGTGTGGTTAAAATCCCCCTGTGTGGTATCTGTGACCGTGGCTGAGGATGTAGCTTCACGCTCTTATGTGCTCATGTGCTGCATGTACACAGTTACGTGTGCTCACGAGCGCAGAGGAAAAATGGATGCAGCGGATATTGAGGCAATATAATTGAGAGTGACCCTATGTGCCATTGTTTTAGTCTATGCCTCAGACCAGAGATGAAAACAGAAGGGTATCACATTGTCATGCTGGAGGTAATCGATCTGTTAGAAGGTGAGAGAGAAAGAGAAGAGCAATAGCAAAAAGTGGGTTGTGGTTTTAAGAGTCAGCGTCATTTTCAAGGGGCAGAAATCAATACCTGCATTTCATTTCATAGCTATTTAAAAATTCACAGCATATCTTAAAAACGAAGAATCTCATTTTAATAGTAAGTTACTTTATGATTGTGTCTGTTGTCTTTCACATTTCCCTTCATTCAACCTGTCTTTTTCCTTAGGTAAAGTCCAAGTGAAGAGTTCAGACATACAAGTTGGGGACCTGATCATTGTTGAGAAGGTAAAGCTTTAAAAAGATCAGTTTGGGTTGTTTTCTGCTACAAATATTACTACCACAAATACTTTGTGTGAATAGCTTCAGGTTAAGTTGTATGATAACAATCGAGTCAACATCAATTTATTAATGACGTAATTCAGAATATATTACCTGCATTTTGCTGTAGCTTAATCCTAATCCAGTTCCATTAAAAGACAAAATATTTCTAAAGCAGTGTGTTTTACTACATAAGACTTAAGTTCTGCTTTAACACCTCTTCACATTACTGGTATTAAAGTGTGCTGTGACTACACTACCCTACTCTTAATGTGAGGCACTCGGCACAAAAAAGTTAATGGGTGTAATACACTCGTGTCACTGAAGAATTACTGCTGCATTACCTCACTAGTGTCTCAGGTTTAAGTTCATTTAAAGAGTATTTGCCTCTTTCCCTAATTTTTGTCAAAGTTTTCAGCATAATTTTACTTTATTCTTGGCTCAAATCAGTGATTTTATGGATCACTACACATTCTCCCACCTCCTAAAGAAGAAACAGGGATTTTAGGTTTTTTTTTTAATAGTTCACTGGCCACTTTAAAGTAGATACAATAACTTAACTGGATTTTAAGGTACAGTGCACAACTCTGTTAATCAGAGTTTTGCTTTACTGTGACTGTGAAACCAATAATGCACTTTTGATACTATAAAGCTCCCACTGACCTCTAAAGCATGTGATCTTAGGTTTTAGCTCAGCCAACATGAAATCTAGCTGCAGAAAGTGGACAAGGTAAATTTCCATTACTGTGCATTAGACAGACTTTAAAAAACTGTTTCTCTTTCACCCTCTGGTCAAGGTATTGACCTTGTTTAATTATTCAGGAAGATTCAAAGGGCTTTTGCCACAGTGCTTAATAACACGCTGCCATTTGCACTCTTGATTGTTTTTCTTTCTCCTTGTAGAACCAAAGGATTCCTGCAGACATGATATTCCTGAGAACATCAGAGAAAAATGGTGAGCAGGCAAAGTTTTGGTGTAACTTTATCGATGTGAAGCAGGATACTGCTGAAAAGAAACAAATCCTGCTCAGCAAAACCCCTCCCGGATTGATAAAGGTGTTAAAATGTACAAGAATATCTTGGTTAACATTAATAAATCATTGCAGTAGATATAAAAAAATAAAATGAAGACAGAATGCCTTACAGTTGAACTTTGTGTGCCCTGTGGCACTTTAGCAAACTGTGTCAAGATCATTTGGGTGAGAAATGTGACTTTTCCCCCCACACTTCCAGTCCCTTGACATCCTCTGATCAAGGCAGAAAGTGATTCATATGATTTATGTCACATTCTTCTAGTGACTGATGATGCAAATTCCAATTAATCAATGAGCAGCCTCAGATCCGGGATCTTTTCTAAGGGGCATCGGGAGGAAATGTTCTCAGGACATCATTTCCATCAATCTTTGATGTGCCAATAATCTTGGCAGGGCGTTGTTGATGTCTTTATGCTTCTTACACACACACACACATACACATACACAAACAC